TTCATAATGCCTGGAAGGTTTCGAATGCCGTTTCATCGGCAAGACACTTCTACAGCCCAGGATGAGATAGAAGTTTCCTCATCCAGTTCTCACGATATCAATTTCCCCACTACGGACGAAAAAGACACACATCTCTCCTCACACGATGTCACCGCCGCAGCCACAGAAGATGTCCCCAGGTTCCAGAAATCTCACCAGTGGGACCCGAATCTTCCACAAGAACAGATTGATGCCCTGAACGATGCATCTAAGACTGGCGACGTCGAGAAGATCACCGAGATCGAACACACTTTCGCGGAAGACTCACCTTACGAAGAAGTTCGCGCTGCAGTCCGCACCACAGACGATGATTCCGTCGCGAACACTGTCCGAGCTTGGATTCTTGGAATGATATTCGTGACTGTTGGTTCTGGGCTGAATATGTTTCTCAGCATGCGGAGTCCTGCTATCAATTTCCCGGGTATTGTCGTCCAGTTGATTGTTTATCCTATTGGTTGCCTATGGGCCCGGGTCGTACCTACAAAGGTATTTAATACGTTTGGACTAAAGTGGACATTTAATACTGGACCTTTTACCATCAAGGAGCATGTGGTCATTACGTTAATGGCAAACGTCAGTATCTCCTATGCGTATAGTACCGATGCATTGCTGGCGTTGAAAGCAAAGCCTCTCTACAACATTGATCTTGGATGGGGCTTCCAACTGCTTTTTACTATCAGCAGTCAATTGATTGGCATTGCTCTTGCTGGCATGTTCAGGAGATTCTTGATTTGGTACGCTTTTTAACCCCGCCTCTGTATGCTTCGCTAATGCCCCTATTTAGGCCGTCGGCTATGATGTGGCCAGGTCAATTCTCCAATACATCTTTGTTCTATGCTCTTCATGATAAGAGAAGATCGGATGTATCCCAGACAAATGGATGGCGCATCTCGAGATATCGTTGGTTTTTGTATGTCACGATTGGGTCATTCCTGTGGTATTGGGTACCTGGAGTACTGTGGCAAGGACTTTCAGTTTTCGCATTTATCACTTGTGAGTATTATCAATGCTGCCGAATTCTTTAGCTGCTCACACATTATGATCTTCAGGGATCAAACCAAACAATGTCGTTCTCAACCAATTGTTTGGTGGTTTCACCGGGTTATCTCTGATACCGATAACTTTCGACTGGACCTACGTCTCAGCTTACCTTCTTGACCCTCTCCTCGCACCAGTACATGCTCTTTACAATACTCTCGTGGGTCTCGTAATCTTTGTGATCATCACATCGATTGGAATATCGTACACGAATACATTGTACGCTTCCCTTCGCGAAATTATGAATTATTGTTAACATCCACAGCTACTCTGACTACCTCCCAATGAGCACATCGACAACCTATGACAATACCCAGGCCAGCTATAACGTCTCACGCATCTTGACACCAGAATATACCTTCAACGTTACCGAGTATAAATCCTACAGCCCAATGTTTCTTGCTCCAACTTTCATCCTGAACTATGGTCTTTCATTCGCTGCTCTGACCGCTGCTATTGTCCAAACTATACTTTTTAATGGCAGCGAGATCTGGTACCGATTCAAAGCCGCAAGAAATCAGGAGCCAGATATTCATATGAAGTTGATGAAGAAGTATGCTGAAGCCCCAGATTGGTGGTATGTTGCGCTTTTCGTCATTTCGATCGCCTTGGGGCTAGCGACTACGTTGGGATACGATTCGCAGCTGCCTTGTAAGTCATTTCTCCCAAACTATGTCCATAAATTCCGAACTGATAACGTGGTAGGGTGGGGTTTCTTCGTTTCCAATATAATTGGACTGATTTTCATCGTAAGTTCGTTCCGACTAAACAGGGCATTTGGTCTGATCGTGTATAGATCCCAACGTGCATGATCTTGGCGACTACCAACATTATGCTGTCGCTTAATGTCATCTCCCCCTTCTTGGCAGGATTCATGATTCCTGGAAAACCCGTTAGTATATCATCCCAACTCAATAGTAAGCATTACTGATCCAAGAATGCAGATTGGTGTCATGCTGTTCAAAGTATTCAGCACTATCACTCTTGGCCAAGCGTGAGTCTCTACCTAGTAATGCTTTTCGAATCGAGCCAAAGCTAAAACATGTGCAGTCAGACATATTGCGGTGATCTCAAGCTCGCGCATTACATGAAAGTCCCTCCCAAGACGGTCTTCTCATGCCAAATAGTTGCCTCGATCTGGGCATGTTTCGTCCAGATCGCTGTCATGAATTGGACGCTCGGGTCTATTGATGGTGTTTGTTCGCAGTGAGCCCTTCCTCGTACTCATAGTTTCGGTTTCGAAGACTGACATCGACAGGAACCAAGCCTCACATTTCACTTGTCCAAATGGACGGACATTCTTCTCTTCAAGTATAGTCTGGGGTATGTTTCGCTTCTCATAACCCAACTTTGATCGCATAACAACGTACTGACACGCTTGATCAAACAGGTGTCATCGGACCTGAACGAATGTTTGGACCAGGTTCCATCTATTCTTCGATCCAATGGTACTGGCTTCTCGGCGCCCTCCTACCCGTCGCCTTCTACATCCTGATGCGATACTTTCCCCGCTCACCACTCCGTCTCTTAAATGCACCCGTCATGCTCGGTGCCATGGCTTGGCTCCCCCCGTACGTCTCTATTCCCTCCCGCATACTCCACACTAACTCTCCCCACAGAGCAACTCCCCTCTCCTTTAGCACCTGGGTAATCTTCGGCCTCCTATTTAACAAATACATTCGCACCCGTTTCCCCGGCTGGTGGCACACCTACAACTACGTTACTGCTGCCGCACTCGACTCCGGACTCGTGATCTCGACCATTATCATCTTCTTCGCGATCACGTTGCCGAACGTGACGATCCCGCAGTGGTGGGGGAATGTAGCGATATATAACACGCTGGATGCGAGTTATACGGCGGTGAGGAAGACGGTTACCGGTGTTGGGGACGATTATTTTGGGCCGAGGATGGGGAGCTGGTGAGGATGGGCGAGGGTGAGAGCATACTTTGAGCGTCTGCGTGAAGCGATGGTGCATACGGAATGTTTGGGGCTAATTTTATAGGTTTAATTTTTAGTGAGGAATGAGATGATGTGATACTTACTTTTGTATATCAGTGAATGTATCAAATTCATTGAATGTCGGAAAATTTGCCTCGGAGGAAAGTGAGTGAAGCGATCGGTTCCCCTTTTTAGCCGAGACTAGCTTCACCACTTCACATATCACACATCCGAACCTTTTAAGAATAGAGACCCGGATTTTTGGATACATCCTTAAACGAAAGAATAGGGATGTAAGATAGAGTTTTGTAGAATGGAAAGTAGGTAATAAAAAGTAAGTGCAACTCCGGGATTTCCTACGGCGATGCTTGGGGCGCGACGACTCAACACCTGTACGCTGGTGCGCCCTACGAACCTGAAGCTTTTAGAGCTTGATCTGCTTGCAGGTTGGATTGCAATACTATCCCAGAGCCAAGATTGAGTCTCGAATGGAAGCGGCACTGCACAAGGAGATTTTCCCTTATTGACGCGTCGCGATTTCGATTCTGCCACCGTGGCCTCTTCTACCTCTGCGACGTCGCCCAAAACTCGAACTACACCTTAATCAACTTCACTTACGGCATATTGCCTTACTGCACTATTATTCCACCTACTTGCCTGCGAGGGCCCCCTACTACGTACACCTACGAAGATATGTATACTCGAAACGGCAGACACCGCGAAGAAGGAATCAAGGGCGAGGACACAAGTTTTAGGGGAGGCAAGAGGGGTTAGTGTCGAGTAAGGGGGTGACTTTATGTCTCGTCGACGAGAGAAGGGTGTAGGGAGAGAAGTAGGGTGGGGGGAGAGAGGGAGAAGGAGCTTAGGGGGGAGACCGGGTTGCATGCGTCGATATTGCGCCTTTGTGTAGGCTTCCACTACCTACCGGGAAGTAAGGATTTAGAATGCTATTACTAGGGCTGTCTAGGAGGCTTTTAACTCACGTTGAGCCCCCTGGGTTCTAGTTTTGTGGGTTCTAGACACCTCTTCACGGCTAGAACGCACTTCATGGAGTCCATCCCAACCGGCGGGGAAGGGCTCATTCACCTGCTTTTATGCCTGCGTATGCTAGAACTGCTTTCACGGATTACTTGCATAGAGTTTTTCCCCTTGGGGTTTTTGACGTCTATAATCTTGTATATAAAACTGTGCTTAGCACGACCCCATGCCCCCTGGGAGGCTCGAGGACTTAGGTCCTGGTCGTAAATCAATACAATCAATCAATCAATCTACGGCGATGCTGAATTCACGTGATATAATTATGGAAGGCTACAAAAATCACAATTTTTGAGAGAAGCCTTATGTAACGCTATAGCTCATGTAAGCAACGAATGGGGTTGGGACTCATTTGCAAGACTTTCTTTCTTCTATTTTCGATTCGCGCTAAGCGAGGAATTTTAGTATTCCGCTTCCGAAAGCTCAAAAAGGAAAGTCTCGGGCTCCGACACAGGTACTAATCAGTATTTATAGCTTATGATGATTACTAATTAGATTCCGAAGAATTGTTCTGTGGAGAAGGGCAAGAAGGGCAAGCGAGTATTCGTTTGTAGAAGATGTTATAGTAATTCTTTGAAAGAATTAATAACATCTTCTACAAAAATTTCTTTCCACATAAGTTCATTAGAGTAATTTCATGACCGTTTGAAAATAGCGACGAAGGAACTTGCATCCTAATAACTATCTGTAGAAATTACTAAAGATATCTCGATAGAACGTGGTTTTTGTCATATGGTAACGAGCCTGTAGTGCTGTGGAGAGACGGAAGCCTCGCCTCGGCTACAGCTACCCTATAATTTCAGCGGCCCCAGTCTCCCGCCCGCTCCGCTTACACTTACCAATCTTACACCGGCTAATACCCCCAACCTCCCAGAGGTCCCCACTTCTTTTCACCCTCCGCGAATAGCTTGTATAATTTGAAATAAGCAGGATGGCTTTCAATCAGTCGTCCCGTTGGTCTAGTGGTATGATTCTCGCTTAGGGTTTACTCTAAGTCCAAATTTGCGAGAGGCCCCGCGTTCGAATCGCGGATGGGACCGTTTTTATTCTTTTTGGCCTTCGCTATTACTTGCGAAAGAGTTCTATTAATGGCTGGGGATTTTTTGATTGTGGTTTTGGGTTGGGAGGGTGGTGATGATGTGGCGGGAGCTTGGGTTAAGCGAGGAATAGGGAACACCACAACCACAACCACAACCACAACTTGCTTTGACCACGATGTATCGAAACTAGCTATCAAAGCTTTTTAATGTTCATGTCTATTGTATTAATTACAATCTCGTCTTTCCGCTTCCGTTTGTATAATATTACATATAGCCTGGCTTGTAAAACTGTAGTTTTGGTATGTGCGCCAATGTCAATAGCAGCCCCACCTACCTAGAGATGCAATTTTCCCCTCACTTATTCATTGCGTAGTTTATTGTTCAGTTTCAATCCCCTGCTCTGCTTTCTTTCTCTAGAGAGCTACCTCACAAGATCCCCTCAAACAAATAGCTTTTGCACACTCAAATGTGAACCTCACGTGAATTTCTTACTTCACTTTCACCCTATGACTTTTCCCAATCAAGCTTACCTACCTATACTTCAATATATAAACCCAAATTGGCCTCATTATTATCCACATCTCTTACATCCCATTCCTAAAACTTAACAAAAGTACTCGCTCCCCCATCTTGATTTGATTCGAAGTCTCCAGATTGAAGCTTGAGATGAGTTCGAGAACTTATTTTCTATCTCCATTTCCATTTTTCGATCGTAGCACTCCAGTCTACAATGTTACATAAATAAATAATTAAACAAAACTACGAAAACTAGGTTCCAAAGCTAGGGAGATTGTCGACGGTCGGGTGAGGTAAAAAGGTATCACGTGGATTTTCCTATGGTTAGGTAAGTCCGTAACGTCATGCGATGTTATGAGAGCTTTATGCTACGAAGTGGTTCTTGCATCCTTTGTATCGGATGCAAATCATGAAATCATGAATTCTTATGCGGATAATAGCTCGATCTTCACACGCGGATCGTCTCGTGCTCGTTTTTGCCGCCGAAATGTCTGCAACGACTGTTAGAACTCGTCAGTATCCAGAAAACAAATTTTGTCCAGTACATCACGCGAATTTCTCACAATAGCATGAACGGAAGGAGGGGATAGGAGCAGGTTATGGGAAAACCGAAAGTGATATGTAACGGCAGCAGCAAGAAAGATCTTTATTGTCTATCCCGCCTGCCAAGTTGGCAAAGTTGGTGCGCCCCCTCCATCTAACTCCATCCTCCTATCCGATCGGTAGATCAATAGATGCAGTTGTTTGTTTAATTACACTCCACACTCGACTCGCTCCACTCCAAGTCCTGTTCGTATCATGATGGTTGATTATTCTAGTTTCCCTTGGCGGTGGCGTCTGTGGTTGTTAGGAGGTCCGCTGTCTGGTTTCTCAGCTATATTTGTCAGCTTATTATCTTCTTTTCCAAACGCGTACTCACGGATCAAGCTCAATGCATGGCCAGGGTCCATATTGAAGAGCTGTTCTTCTGTT